TTTAAAATATATTTTTTACTTAGTAAGTATATAGCTAAAATTAATATTCAAAATTTTAATAAAAAATTTAAATATTATAAAAATCTTCACAGGCAAATTTGCCTGTGTTACAATTTAAGGGATATATTTCTAAAATTGAAAATCGATCAATATCATGTTCATTTTAACAAAATGTTTATTAAACCTTATTGTTCAATTAATGTGCATTTAACCTTTTTTTTTTAAAAAAAAAAAAAGATTCAATCTCTGAAATATATATCGTTATTTAAAACTCAATTTTTATTAAAATAAAAATACTTTTTCGTACTATTTATTGTACATTCTATGCGAGATAATATCTATAAAATCTTTCTATCTCTTTAATTACTATCTTCACTAACAACATTATAAATTTTTCCCAATTATGTCTTAATTATATCTCATAGTCATAAAATTATCATATTCTTTCTAAAATCCAGAATTCTAATTTCAATTCTTTTTCAGAAATATACATCATTCTCTCTCATTTATATTTGCTCTTTTCTTTATTATATTTAGATTATCCTGTCTAATCGATCTACTATATGATATTATAAAATTATTTATTATTTAATTGTAATAAATTGATATATTAATATAAGCATAGTGAAAATAAAAATATACTTCATAATTCATTAATAAGCTATTCTTCTTTTTCATGTTCCAAGATTCTAAACTTAATTCGCTCTCAACAATCTATATTATTATCTCCATCGTAATTTTAAATAATAAAAAATTGCTTCATACTGTTTATTATATGTTCTATGCGAAATCATCTTTACAAAATCACACCATCTCTTTAATCACTATCCTAACAAATAACTTTAAAAATCTTTCTACTTATCTCTTTAATTTAAATTGTATTCGCTACTTTTTTTTCGTAATATTATCGTATTTAATCAATCTTATATGATTTGCTAAAATATAATATAATAAAATATTAATAAAATAAATTAATTTATAATAAATTAAATAATGAATTTAACATTAAACATTATGATACTTAAAATATAATTTCATTATCTCATAAATAATCATAATGTAAAATAATAAGCCACTCCCAGATTCTTTGTTTCTTAATGCAGTTTACTAAAAGTTCATTTAATTAATCTTTATTATTAACTAAAATAAATAAATCCAAATTACTACAACTATAAATAAAAAGCTCTAAAAAACATACCTGTTTATTCGAATCTTTTCTGATCTTTATCATCTTTTTTTTTAAAAAATATTAAAATCATGTCTTCGATATTCATCGCTTTTTGCTTTATTAAATTGGTTAGTAGAAATGACAAATTTGTGACCGGATCTGCTTTATATCGAGTTACTGATGATGAAGATGAATTTAGGAAAATCACCTATAAGGGCTTCACCTCGAACTCTAAATCATTGATAGCCAATTTTGAAAAAAATTCTATTGTATATATAGTTGGAAAATATATATATTATGAAAATGTTGAATATATAAGTTAAAATCTACTTAAAATTTTAAAAAACTATTTTCTCGCCTTATTTTAATACAACTTATTACATTTTTCATTTTTCTATTTTCTATAAATTTAATATAGAGTTTTAATATCTACTTTAACTAATAAATTTTTACCTAAACCAAACCTTTCATTTATTTTATATTAAGATCTGCCTTGTCCAAACTGTTCCTATTTCTTCCTCTAATAATGACTTCACGCTTACACCAGAAGATCTCCCTTACACCTTTCCTTTATTATTGTATTCTGCTCCGGCAGTAACCAATTCATACAAATCTAATGATAATATAGGCCGACAAAGCTTTATGTTGTTCAAGAAACTTTATAATGGCGTAACTGGCTAAAAAGGCATAGACTCCAATATCATTGTATCGTATGCAAATGAAAATGGACATTATAACTACCTTCAAGATTCTTTAAAAAAAATTGTTCTTTCTGTAATCAGCCAATTTAAGCTCAGTCCTCAAAGCAAAATACCTCATATAATCTCTTCAGAGATTGAATGGAGTTATACGAGTAATGAAGCACAATCATCAACCTTATCTCAAAATGAAAAGTTAAAAGTATGTAAAGACTTTAACAGTCAACTCAATTTAATCGAAGAACAGTATACAGCTGCAAATTCTCAAGCTTCCAATAAGAGAAAAAAATTTCCCTCGTTTTCTTTCACATCAAACTCTTCAAGTAACAAATCTCCAACCGTCGATCTTACTACATTAGTATTACAAATCAGAAGCAACGAATCTATGTCCCAACCTTCGTCAAGTACATCCCATCAACTCTTTAATATACCCCGCAACACTCTACTCCTCACCAACAACCCTTCCTTACATCTCAACAGCCCTCTACAATTCACCAACAACCCTCTAAAGTCCACCAACAACCCTCTGAAGTCCACTAACAACTCTTTACCTCTGCTAATCAATCTTCTCACACACCTTCTCCTAATAAAAAATAGCTTTAAAGTAAATTTCTCTCACCTCTTTTTTTTTTTCTACTTAGAAATGTTAGCTTTGATTATTTTGTATTTAAACTAAAATACTCGCTCTTCCTAAATTTCAATCATATACAAAAAATGTACTACTTATATGCAATATATTTTATAATAAAGTTTCTATTTACCTTTTGCTATGCTTAAGACTTATAAACAACTTGCTAAATTTAATCTTATTCATTTTTGTTAATTCTTCGCTAACATTATATAATTACAATTAAATTAAATTTTACTTAAAAACTTCCTCTCGCCCAAATAAATATCTTACTATTTTTATCCCTCTGATCTCTTCACTCTCATTATATCATTACAATTTAAGGGTAGGGTGAACGTAGATCAATTTTCATATGATTTACGTGGTACAACAAAATTTTATATAGAAAGCTAAA